GAGCTCTGATTGGCCGAAAAGGTGGACCCAACAGCCAATAATTATCCAGTATCCGCCGATGCCAGTTACCAGTGGCGAGTACAGAAGGCGTCGGAATTCCGAGGATGTTCTCGCCTCTTATACTTTATGTACGACACACTGCACATGTGTTCTTGACATAGTTTTCAGCGTTTAATGAAATTAGTGCATCTCTGGTGGTACTTTTAACGAGAACACATGCATGTGGAGTTCAGACTGAGAACTGAGCTGAGACACTACCGTTACTATACCCGGATACCAGCTGAAGAATACCATTTTGCTGCCGATGGCTACGTCACACGGACGTACCAGTACTTATACTTCGGTCGCGCAAATTCGTTTGGTGTTTACTGATCCCCATTGTGATAAGCTGCCAACTGCAGTGATCTTAGGAAATCAGTTTGTTCCTCCACGTTCACAAAAGGAGCATCGTGCATTTTCGCAGTAAGGTTAGAGTTTTCAGTCCAAGGTAATGGGGAGCATTGATCAATACAACTTCGACGAGTCATCACAAATTTAAAGTTCACCTTCTCGACATCGTGCACTCATGCACAACTTCTAAGGCAGAGAACCATATGTAATCATCATCAACAATCGGGCTAAATTGAGGATGGAAACTAACATGGAAGGGCGGAGGTCAGAGAGGACTGGCGCTGTACGGGCAAACGGGCAGTACGATGACCGGAAGGAGGAACGTGAAGAGTGTTTGTCCTTGATAACAGCTCATACCGCTTGTGGATCAGCTGTGGTGTCAGACTGGAAGCTGAATTATTTTCTGAAATAATAATGGATTATTACCACAAGGTGACCGGGACATTACTTTCAATCTGGAAGGGCACGCTGGTGCTGCTAAATACCGGACTTCCTTCCTCAGTGTCCTCTTTGTCCCGAGGAAGATGAGCCACTGGTTCATGGGTTGGAGGTGGAACAGACACATCAGTGTTCGCGGACAGACCGCTAGGAATAGCTTGGATCCCAGAAACAGTAGCAGGGAGCGGATTCGTCCACTTTAAAGTGGTCATTACTCCACTTGCCTGTTGGTCGAATTCCTGCGCCGGCGTAAACCTAGGATTTGTTGACGACGGTAGATGACGAGGAACAATAGATTGGTTTCTATGAAGGGCGTCGGCAAGATCTATCAAAAGGCAATAAAAGCAACAGAAGCACCGGATGAGTTGATATGAAAATAAAAAAGTGATATGAAGTTCAACCATTAACCCAATAAGGATAATCCCATACGAGCCATCTGATTCAAAAATAGGACCAGCCTTCAGGTAGACTCTTTGGCTAGAACATCTCCAGGAATTGATCTCCACGAACGCTCGCAGATATTCAAATGACTGCTACAATTGGTTACGTAATCATCACAGAAGATCCTGTAATTAATTAATCAATCGGAAAAATTCTATTTCCGTTCATACTTACGATTGCAACACATCAGGGTTGGTGTTGATAGATATAGACAACGGTTTTAACCATTATCAAGGACAGCAACGCCAGTGCTAAAACCTGATGTTACACTGCCATATGTTTGCTAGCACAATACTGGACGGCAAACCATGCTAGCTTGCACGCTTGAAACCTCCAGAAGATCCCTGGTACCATCAGAGTGCTTTGCCCAAAATTCGTATCCCCCCTAAAAAAAAACCTGCTGTCACCCGAAAGAAGCATAAGCACTGAGATACTGCCAGGTTACCCAAGCCTGAACAAAAGCAGTCGTGTTTCGGTTCAAGCCACGGGTCAGTAGGTTCGCACCTTAACCACTGAGCTAGCTCAAGCTCGCGTTACAATTGGATACAACCATAAAAGGAACGAAACAAAGATGTGCCGAAAATTAAGGTCTATTTGGTACTGCTATTTCAGACAATATGCGCGTGAAGACAACAACATGGCACACCAATCTGTAAACCGTGTGTAGTGCAGCCCAAATCAAAGTGCTCCCATGTACACAAAATATTCCACTACAGACATGGAAAATCTATCCAGTTTTGTAAACCTAACACCTTCAGTCATTTTACATGTAGCTGCAGTAGTCTCTATTAGGACCGAACGAATGAAACTCTTGACCGAAAGCGCCTCCGTCAAGAAGAGACTGGACCTTACCGTGGTG